TGATCTTGTAATTAAAATAACATGTTATACTTGTTGGAAGGATAAAGGTGCAAGACTGTATAAATCATCCCTTCCTCCATAGTGTCATGTGATAAATTAATTATTGTGGGTTGGGAGATGTGCCAGTTAGTCATTCTGTACATCCAACCGACACCAATATCAGCAAACTTTAAAGTCAGACATGCTGTGATGTTATGAAACTTATTAAGAGGAAAAATAATAAACTGGATTAGCATGCAGTTTCAGTTCAACCCACTAACCTCTGGCTTCAGTGTGATAATAGAAAATCCTATTTAACTTGATTGAACTGGGGCTCCTATTCAGTTTTTTTCCCTTGAAAGATCAGGTTATACCATGCCTAGATTTATCCCAACAATAAAAATATAATTCAGTAGCAGTCTATTTTGAATTAGTCAACCTGCGTTTTTGTACGTGTCAAATCTGTGCATGAAAGACGAATCACAAAGGCACCGAACCCTAGGGAACCTTGTTTGGCATATATTGACGTATTCACCGATTTGCGAGGTGCTGTGTTCACAGGTATTCTAAAACATAATCTCTGCCTTGTCATTTTAATTTGCGTTTGTGATCAAGCCGCAACTGGCAAATTTGACAAACGGTAAGCCCCGCAGCATCCATTTTTCATGCCAAATTTGCTATTTTCAGTCCCTCCCATCTGGTATGAGTTTAGAAACTCACCAATGATTTACAGTTGCACTCTTTTGTTATGAGGCCTGTAAATGACTGGGATTGTAGGGCTTTCGTGGTTTTTACACCATGATTCTGCATTAGCCTGTGCTGATGTGATTGCTATAATGAGAATTCCTTAAAAGACTAATGTAATTGAATCTTAGAAGCCGTGTATATGGGTTTAATAGGGATTTTTTTCTTCATGATTCATTGTGTGGATTATTACACTAGGATTTGTGCTCTCTGAACACAAATATTTAAGAGCATAGTTCACCCAAAAATGAATATACTGTCATCGTTGTACTGATAGCTTTGTTGTGATTGATGACGGAATTTTCATTTTTGGGTGAACCGTCCCTTTAATTCTTGATTATAATCGCCTTTATTTACAGTATTATAAACTGCACTTTGCAGATGGTTTTTGTTGTGTATGCTCTGCTGATTCTTGTTATGAAAACTACAAATGGATTTTATTCTAAATCAGTCAGGTGAGAATTTTCTGATTTGGCACATCAGTTCTGAAGCTTTATTTAATTTTTTTATTTTTTAAGCCAATTTTTTTTTTTTTTTAAGATGTATCCAAAGACTAGCTGATACATTAATTTCCATTCTGCTTTAAAATATATTTTGATGTTTAAAATTGGATGACTTGCATGAATTCTGTCCCTCCGGACCCTTTATCACTGCAGTATATGTGCTCAAACGATTTTAATTAATGTGAAAAGTTGTGGTTGCAGTTGTGGCTAATGCTTTGTTTTCCTCCCTGGGTAGTTCTCGCTAATGCAGCTTTATAATGAACTGGATCATCCCTCAGTGAGGACAGATGCAGTGGTGTGTTAGATAGGAGAAGTTAGCTGTGTGGATATATATCAGAGCCAGCTTCTCTTGTGCTATTAGGCATCCTGCCAAGGCATGCCAATAGCTTACAATACAGCACAAATCTCAGTGATGAATGACACAGACAGATACATACCATATCTCACCCTCAGCAGATTTCAGCCGCTCTCAAATCTCTTGTTTTTATGTGCAAAACACATAAGCTGCATTAACTTGAAATCCACTTGTGTAACCTCCAATATGGAGGTGTTTTTGCAGATTTGAAGCATGTACACACATACAACAGACGCATAGATGTTTCTAGTAAATGCACCCTTGGATTCTCTCACGTTGGCTCTTTATGCCGAGAATTTTCTGGTTCTGCCTCTCAATGCCATATTATAGCATCCAAATCCATTTAAAGTAAGCTCACACTGATTAACGGGCCAGAGAAGGTGTGAAATATTTCGACTGCATCCCAACTGAAATGTCAGGTAGTGTGGCAAATGTTTGAAGTGAACGGGGCTAGAGATTCCGTTTTCTGTCAAAGGCTGAACTTGGCATCACAAATCCAGATGCTTTCATATCACCTGACACCTGATTTGAATTGCTAGAATCTTTTTCACTGCAAAAACTGACCGTTCTAAATATGCGTTTGCATGTATTTTAAATGGCTTTTGACACCTGATGTCAAGTTATAGAGCATGATTGTAAATGAAGAATATATTGATTATTTGAATCATCAGCATGGAGATCTGTGTATAATTGAATTCCATTGTCATCTCGGTGCATAAACATGTTATGGTGTGTGGATCCTGTGTGTCCTGTGTCCTTTAGTCGACATCGAATCAAAATTTATCTTATTTACTTTCTTTTATTTATTATACTTACATTATATTCATTTATAATTATATTTTGTGTCTTGTAATTCAATACAGTTCTCATTACGTTTTATACATACATACATACATACTGTATGTACATTACTGATCAAAAGTTTGGAATAATTTTGTTTTAGTAATATAGTTCATATAGTTTCATGAATATCTTAATATACTATATTTGAATATACTAAATATATATATATATATACACAATTAATATTTTATAGTTTTTTCATGTTTTCAAATTAATTCTTATGTTTATCAAAGCTGCATTTATTTTATGAAAATACATTATTATTATATTGTAAGCCATTTTCTATTTAAATATATAAAAAAAGTATTTCTGTAATTATTCCTGTGGTGGCAAAGCTGAATTTTCAGCAGTTATTACTCTAGTCTTCAGTGTCATATGATTAGGTGCTCAATAAACTTTTCTTATTTTTTTGTTTTTGTGGTATTCGTGATCTAGCATTCAAAAGTTTGAGGTTAGTAGGATTAAAGTGTGGGGGGTAATAAAAATAATAATGTTTATTCAGCAAGGATGCATTACATTGATCAAGAGTGAAAATAAAGACATTCACATTGTTACTTATATTATTTGCAAAAATCATGGAATTCCTGGGTTTCCACAAAAAAATGTGAAGCAGCATACCTGTTTTTAAACATTAAAAATGAGAATTTGTAATTATTTATATCACGTGCCCATTTTCACAGTCTAACCTCATTTGTTCCTATTTTCTCATGTTTCACTCATACATCAGATTACTGCAGTAAAATGGGTTGATTTTAAATTCTCTGCACTCTCAGCCTTGTCCTTTCTGCACCCATATGTTATAGGCTCAGCAGTCATTTGTCCTCGCCTTTGTCATCAGCAATGTGTTCCTTTAATCTCTTATGTTATGTTATCCTTAAATCTTATGCTAGCCTGCTTCTGTGATGCTCAGGTTATGTAATGCTCCCTAGGCATTTTCATGGGTTGATGCCTGTACTGTAAATGCATGATCCAGCCAAAGCAGAAGATTCATCCGTTGCCATCTTTTTTGGATCAGACAGACTTCTCTTCCAACATATGCCAAAACTCTGCATTCAAGCTGCGTTGATGTGTCACACTGCTATTTTCATTCCTTCCCAGGAGATTGTGCAGTGAAGAAATGATGAGCAGCGCAATATCACAGAACTAAATTTCTCAACACAGTGATTACAATGATGGATATCCATATTCTTTATGCACGGTTCTCACAGCCTTGGAAAACATTTTGATTTCTAGGAGTAAAAAGAGTCATGGAAATTTCTTTAGTGAAGATAATTATTATTTCAGTCAAGTGATTGGTACCTGACATGCAGATGGTAATCCATGTAGCAATCTAGCAAATACTGTATACGGTTTTTTTTCTTATCTCAGTGAATGTTTCTGCTTCAAATTCAGAAAAACAGTGAGATTTTCTTTTCCTCACACTTACTGTTAGATGCTTTGAATTTCAAATGCTGCAAATTAGTTTTCCAGATATGAGAAATGAGAGAAACTCTCACTTCCGTGTACAATGTGGGGAAGCGCATGCCTTCACATTTGTTAATGCTGTAACATATCTATGTGACATAACTACGGAGCCCAAAGTCTGAGAACATCATACTTAAAAATCCATGTTACTGTTCTCACCACAATGGTGGAAATTTCTTTTCAGCCCTCAGATAACATGAAACATTACGTCGAAGGCCTGGAGAACTTCATACCTTCAACACTGGGGTTATAGAAGAGAACGTCAAAAATTCAATCAGGAAAAAATAGTCTGAACACAGACCTCAATAACTTGCAGGTGATTTTCAAAGAACGATTTGCCTGGAATATAAATGTCCCCCACTCAAATTCAGACATAGCAAGTAATTTAACGCCAGCTCGAAAGACAAATGGATCACCTGCTTGAAGGGAGTTATTTTCAGATTTTTTTAATTTTTTTATATTGTGTTCAACTTAGTATTTTGTACATGCCTGCTTTATTTGTGTGTATATTAAGTACGGTGTTATTTCTTTTATAGCCTTTTTCTATATGTCATTTTGTATTTGAAAGCATGCCATTCTAGTAGCTTACTCTGTTTACTCCTGCTATAAGAAATAATATACAGTGAAGATTTATGTATGATAAACATTTCTTTTTTCCCATCGAGAGAGGATTGTTGCTTCTTGACGAGCTGGAAAATGAAAATTCAGCCTGTAGTTAAAGCTCTCTCACTGACACCGCTAGAGAGATTTACACTGCATTTGTGAACATGAAAGGGTCCTCATTTTACATGCACATATTCAGAGAACCTTCCTCAGTTCCTCAGCCTTTGAACAGCTATTAAACAATTTATCACTGAGCAGTTCATTTCATTTCTCCAACCCTTGGGACGAATAGTATTTCTCAGCGTTGCACCCATAAGACTTACACGTGTTGACCACTCTGAATCTTGTTGCTAATTCATTTCTGCCTCATTCACACAACTGTAAATGAAAACTTTGCGTTTTAGAAGGATCTTCCCTCTCCGGCTCGGGGGGTTAGTTTATTTGAGTTAGCTTGTTACGTGTGTTCACTCTTTCCCTAAATCATGTTGGTTTTTATTTTCTTTCTGTAGTTCCTCCAGCAATCCATGAGATGAGAAGTCACGGGGTCCGACCCGGTCAGATTGCCCTGCTGAGATGTGAGGCAGCAGCTGTCCCCTCTCCAGCCTTTGAGTGGTACAAGGGAGAGAAAAGGTAAAACCAAGAGTGATAAATGATTAAAGCCTTCATTTCATTAGCTTAGCTGTACAGTGATCATTTATCATACATTATGCACGTTAAGTGAGTTTATTTGCGATTCAGAATGCTCACCACAGAGAAGGTTAACGTCAGTCGAGGACGCTTTTTGTGGCAAGTGTGCTTGTGTAAAAGAAATGCAATATTTTGATCAGTATTCATTTGCAGTCACTGCCTTTGTTGAATCCACTGAATAATTACAATACAATCAAACTGTACGGCAGTTTTTGAGAATTTCGCCTAAGGTTTAATCGCTGAACGTTGATCTAAAGCTGTATTACAGTCTTTAGTAGTATTAGTTTAATAGCTATGGATCTGCAGCTTATCAAATATTACAAAGTGTCTTATTAAAGAGTCTTCATTTTGAAAGATAGTGATTCTTGGCACAGCATAAGCTCATGAAAATCACTTTTGCAACTTCACCGTCATTTTTAACTTTTAATTAAAGACAAGTCATACACTTCTTTCTAAAACTTTCTAAAAGAGCTCTGAAGCAAACTGTACCATTTGAGTCATTTGAGCAACACAAAAAGATGTCTTAATTGATCAGTCAGCATTATGTATAATTTTAAGCATTGGTTTGAACACATTATGTTTTTGGGGGAGGGGCGAAATTCATTTTTAGTTCCCAAAAAGTGCTAAAATGGTGATTTTCTAGAAGGAAAGACTAGTGTTTGCAAGACAAGAAAGAGTTTTAGGGCTGCTTCGGTTGTGTGGCAATGAAATGTCAAATCAGATCCATTTTTAACTCGTTTTAATAAATGAAACGACAATTTTAATTGTCATGGCACTCAGTACGCTTCTAGTTTTCTGTCAGCTGTGTACAAGTATCAGCACATAATGTGGCTTTCACTCTTTGCAGTGTAAAGTTGGCTGCAGATGGTTAAGTAGATGTAAGAGAGATAAGACCAATCACAATTCAATATGCAAATTAATGCAAGAAAGAATGCCAATATGCAAATATTCATCACTGTCAACACAATAAAAAACACTGGCTCACTGCTAGTTCTTCCAATTTTTTGACAACATTTCGACCCCTTTCTGGGGATGTCAGTGTTTTTAGGGTTTTTTTGTTATTTTCTGTGAACATTCATTTGTGGCTGTGCACCAGAATTTTTTTTCTAGATGTGTATATTTTATTTTTAGGTTTCTACTTTTCCAATACCAAACCTTCTTTCACTATGTCAGATAGTGGTTTTTTTTTATATATAGATAGAGATTTTTATTTATAAAAGTATTTATAAAATTTTATAAAAACTAAAAATAGAGAGCACACTTATTACCTACGGACTTATTTCTAGCTCTAGAATAAATAAAAAACTGTTAACAGCATTTGATTATGTTTAAAAACAGCCAAATTAATTAAATGTTATGGAATGTGATAAAAAAAGAAAATAAATCAGAGGTATACTCAAGTCTACTTCTAAATGCACCATTTTTATACAGTTACATTAAAGTTGAAATAGTACAAACCTGTGTATGTTAGGAGGATCTATCTTACTATCTTAACTCTGCATTTTAATTGTATGTTTGTATAACCTTATCACTAGTAAAGAGCATTCCAAGTCTTCACACCAATCAGCATTGACTCAAATGGTGGTTTTTGAATTTAAATACCAAATTACCCCATTACCCGTCATTTACTCACTCTTGCTGAGTACGATCTGAATCAGCAGTTCACACTGTGCTAATTGTAATTATAGGCTTCACTCAATTTATTCAAATTGCAAAGGAGGCTCATTGGCATTGGGTCTGTACTCTGCTTAATCTAAGGCTTTACATTGAGCATTGTTGCTAAACTGTATGTTTTACTGTATTTGTCTGAATGTGCCGACTCAATGCTGAACTAACAGCAGGAAACAATAGAAACCAACAGGAATGATGCAGAATCGTGAACTAGTTTTGTTTTTAAAAAATAAAATAATCATGAAAAATTATAATAATGTATTTCTTGAGCTAAATATATGTAAATTTTTGTAAATCTAAAGATAGCTGGGTTTCCAAATTAGATACTTTTGCAATGGAAAGCACTTGTTAAATTGCGACTCCCAAAAACATTGTTCTGTTTTCCAGTTGCTTGCTAATAACAGAGGCTGAACAGAATGTTATAATGTATAAGCAAGGTGATTCTGAATAGATTATGTAAATATTTTTGTGTATAATGGACTATAACACTCAGATACAGTGGTAGCAGTGGTCTTTTTTTTTTAAGAAAAGTTTTTGTTCTTATTTAAGCAAATGTCAGCAGGAGACAAGCTACTTGAGAGTTAGGGGACAAAAGGTCAGAACATTGCTTTACCTGTGAGAGTAACACGTATGACCCAAGTCAGGACTCTCGAGCAACTGCAGCTGAACCTTTGACCTTGACACAGCTATAAGCCATGTGCAAATTTTTCTGCTTCTGATTTTCCCTTTAGCTATTCCGTCAGGACCAGGGACAATTGTCATTTTTTACATTTTCCTTCATAACTCACATACTACCATATATCTACCTGCCATCTTTTGGTGTAAGAAACATTAATATGTGTCCAAAACATTATGTACCATTCTTAGATGAAGAAAGAAATCAGTGACTGACTTTTCAGCAGCCATTACTCCAGTCTTTAGTGTCACATGATCCTTCAAAAATCATACAAATAAGTTTATTTGGTGCTCAAGAAACGTTTATTTTTATTATTATCGATGTTGAAAATTTTGTGGAAACTGATACATTTTTTTCCAAATCTTTCATAAATCTTTTATAACTATGTAAAAGTAATGCATACTGTACTTGCTGAATAAAAGTAGTGAAAAATATTCAGACATTTGAAAAATATTCTGTGTTTTGCACCTTTCAGTCATTTTTTCCAGTTTACGTCAATAGTGTGACCAAATAAATTTTTAAAAGTACTAGTATTCCATGTAGCCTGTCTGCATGTATAAATGAGAAGTGCTGCTAAAAATACTTTTTGCTGGATGGATTTATAGCATGCCACACTACAGCAGGTGTCATTGCTTGACGTGTCATGTCAACTCATGGTCCTATTTTCAGGATTAACATGGGCCAAGGAATAGACATCAAGAACCTCAGCTCCAGATCAGTTCTCACAGTGAAGAACATGACACAGGATCGCTATGGCAACTACACCTGTGTGGCCGTCAACAGGTTGGGAACAGCCAACGCCAGTGTGCCTCTGATTCGTAAGTAACAAGCATTACTCTCCCCTGGCTAACTCGTATTGTGCTGGTACAGTAGTTGCTTTTTCACATATGCTGTTACAGTCGTCGCAGAGCTCCTCGGAGAAAACGCAGTGTTTTCCCCCATCTTCAATGCATATGTTGCAGAGGAAATGAGAGAAGATGCTACTCAAATAGGTCATTGTTTTGGAGCCTGAAGTTTTCTGTGAAGCATTTTCAAAGAGCTCTTAAAATGAGATGCAATTTCTTTGAGCAGTCTGTTTGAAGTGCTTAGTGTTTTTCTGATTCACTGGCCGCTGAGTCAATAATAAAAGTATGTGGGCTAACAAGATAAACAAATGAAAACAACATCAACAACAATAAAAAAAAAAATAGTGATAGTCTTAAAAGTGGCAGATGGAAAAGTTGAGTTCCCTGCTTTTAAATGAAGCATATCAAAGGCCCAGCTGAGATTAAAAATTCCAGTATCTTTCACATTCTACTGAAGACCGACAGTCTGTGATGCGAGAAACCCAGAATAGACCAGAAAGCTGCATCTTCTCCTCCCACCAGAGTTCCTTCGTACCTCTTATTTTCATCATCGCTAATGAAAAGGAAACCTACCCTACTGTGCTCCTAATGAGAAATGGCAAGCAATTCCTCCACAACACACACATCTCCACATCTGTAGAGATTGCAAATGCAAGAGCTGATCATCGTTGCCTGGGACTAAATTGCTGTTATAATATTGGTCAATAAGTATTGATGAAGCAAAGGTGGATTCAGGGACACATTAATATTTAATGGAGGACCTCAACCTCAGAGACAAGGTGTGGAGTACTAATGAAAGTGCAGTGTTTGATTTTCTCCTCAGCATGGAGAAACCTATCATTTCGCTCTATTTTTAGCCCGCGTATGATTTCCGCCCTCATATTTTATACCTTGTATTGATTGAAAGTGTTTCTTAGATTATTCCCTCGCATTTGTTTTGTTGACTCTTCATCCCAGACATACAGTATCCCCAGCCAAATGCTGTAGACGCAGAATTAAGTACTTTCCCCCTATGGAACCAACCTTGGTCATTTATTGTACTGTACGTCCGACAGCATCAAGGTGATTGAGTCTACAAAGGGTATTTAGCATAGTGACATGCTCTTTAATGGCATGAGCTTCCATTAAAGGTCTTCTGTGACAAGGTTGAATGTAAACGGTGGGAAAAGCCATTATTCTATATTTGAATGTCAAGATTCAGTGTTTTTGGACAAAAGGGGGATTTGAAACATTTTTTCATCCAAAACCAAAAATTTGGGCATCATTTATGGCACTTTTCCACTGCATGGTACGACTCGGCTCGGCACGGCTCAGTACGGCACGGCACGGCTCGGCTCGGCACGGTTTGCGTTTTCACTGCAGTTTAGTATCGCTTTGGAGTGGGCGGGATTATTCACATGTCGTTATAGTTGCGCCTCCTCTACTGCCACGACTCCTAAAAAAAACGTTTTCATTCCGCGTCGCCATCAAGCTCTAGCTGGATCCGCTCCTCTGCTATCAACGAGAGGAACGTCTGTACTTCCGCAACAGACAACGAAACTTTTTGGTTGTTAAAAAAAGGTGCGCTCATTCAAAACAGTTGCATTCGATCCTTCGCTGGCTGTGCTGATTTAAATCTAGCGGTTCTTTTGTGTCTACGCAGGTAGAGACGATTCTTTCTGGCCAATCAGTGATCAGCAGAGTTTACACGTCACGTTTTGGTAACGGTACGGTTCACTTGGAACCTCAACCGAGGTGGTACTAAAAAATGTACCAGGTACCAGGTACTGTACCCAGTGGAAAACCCCCCAAAAGTGAACCGTACTGAGCCGTACCGTGCCGTACCATGCAGTGGAAAAGCGCCATTATTCACCTCATGTCGTTTCAAACCTGTATGCATTTCTTTATCCTGTGGAACACAAGAAGATATTTGGATCCAATGTTGTTTTGGACCCCACTAACTTTCTTTGTATGTACAAAACACTTAAACATGCTTCAGAATGTCTTCTTTTGTGTTCCACTGAAGAAATATGTTTGGAACAATATGAGGATGTGTAAATATTGACAGAATTTTCAATTTTTTGGTAAGCTATGCCCAAAATGAACCCTCAAAACAGGAGTTTTTAGTGTCGTTATCTATATTGGCCCAGTATTACCACTAAAAGAGAGCTGGCGCACGAGTCTAAACTCCATTAGGTCCTCATTGGCCTGAATATTTTATTCCTCATTGTTTTATGCTTCACATAAAGTACATTTTTGAATGTAATTCTTAACAGCAGAATTAGAATGTTAACTGACATTATGCTTAAGAGATTACATTTTCATTAAGAAAAAGTGCACTTTCATGAAACGTTGGCGTTGGCATGCACTCTTGTTAATGACGTTACAGTCAGATACACTCAGAGATCGAACCACATGTTTAAAAGTGCTTTATTTAAGCTTTACTAATTGCCAAATGACCTCAATATAGCTAATGGCCTTGGTTGCAATAGTCAACGACAGATTCAGATAAAAAAATGCATGTCAAAGCAACACACTGTCGCTCTTTGTTTTTCTCAATGGGAATTCATTAGTGTGAAAGATATTAACTCTCAAGAATGAGTTTACCACTACTAGTCATTGACTATAATGAAAATAATCTCACAGAATGCTGATTTTTAGTGCATACAGCTGGGGCAAATGGTTGCGTAAATTGACAAACAACCACAAATTTCTCAGCATCATACAATGCTGTCACAATAATGTAGTTGTACTTTATTTCATTTGATATATTTTCTTCAGCGAGCACACATTTCCAAACGTGACAAACGGTTTTGTGAGGTAACAAATGTCTGGCAGTTAGTGTGTCTCCTTTGTTTAATTTCTAAAAGCTTCCTGACCATTGTCTCTGAACACCAGTTCACTGAACAGGCTCTTTTTGAAGACGAAAATCTGCAGGCATTGGGTGCTGAAGGTGATCAATTTAACACATGGATGTTTTTTAAAGTCCTTTTAATGTTGTATTGAGAAAAATGGGTGATGCGTTGCACATGTGGTACAAATTAGAGTGACTTGACATTTACGTGGCTCTTTCTCCATTACTCACTGTCATCACATTTGATTGGACTTTTGGCCCTTTTTGCACCTGGCATTAAAGTGCGTTTTCGGTGATCGGATCACAATCAGATAGCCTTAAACCACAGGGCACATTGTGATCGGATCACTGAAACCACATTCAAATATGGTTAGGGACAGTTGTTTGAGGTTGTTTTGTGACTTCGGGGAAGTCGTGGCCTAATGGTTAGAGAGTCGGACTCGTAACCTAAAGGTTGCGGGTTCGAGTCTCGTACCGGCAGGGATTGTAGGTGGGGGGAGTGAATGTACAGCGCTCTCTTCCACCTTCAATACCACGACTGAGGTGCCCTTGAGCAAGGCCCTGAACCCCCAACTGCTCCCCGGGCGCCGCAGCATAAAAATGGCTGCCTACTGCTCCGGGTGTGTGTTCACGGTGTGTGTGTGTGTTCACTGCTGTGTGTGTGCACTTAGGATGGGTTAAATGCAGAGCACTAATTCCGAGTATGGGTAACCATACTTGGCCACATGTCACTTCACTAATCACTAATTGTTTTTAATATAACAATATCTTATCTCAAGAACTTCTGTGGCAAAAGCTCTTTTTGGCTTACCAGGCACCTGTGTTGTGGTTTGCTGTCTTTTTTATTCTGTTTTACACTGTGGTTTTAGGACCTGGTCACCCAATTTAATGAACAATGTCCCATGAATTGTTCCACTGCACTACACTTGAAATCTCTCATTTCTCTCCTCAAATCCTCACTCTCGTCTCTCTCCCGGTGTGTTTTCGCGTGGGCGCGTTAAAACTTTATTTTCCACCCTTTTCTTCACTTCTAATCCCTATTAGCATCCTTTACTGTGGGAATGTTTCTAAAGCAGCCAAACGCAATAGACCAAATGGCTTATTTTAATCTGCGAGCATTTTGAATTATCCGTGTTTTACAAATTCGGTGAACGATGGAAATTTTTTGGTTAACGCAAACTCTGATGTAAGCTCCAAGTGTAAAGGGGGCCAACATGTCCTTTCATTTTCATTCATGAGGGTTAATCTAGATAGACAACTGATACTTATCTTTGAGTTTGCTGTTTGCTTTGCTTTGTTTTCAGATTATTGCTCTAAAAAGTGTGCATGTGAGGATTTTCACGTTATGCATATTGCTAATTGCAGCACATTTTTATAGAAACAGTGAAATCTAAATGTGTTAACACCCTAGCTTTCTCTTTTTATGTCTTGCATAGCATAAACAAGTTTGTATGTGTGAGGAGGTAAATGTGTCTCGCATGTTGTAGCAAGGTAGCCTACATCGTGAACCTGCTGTTTTCCGTATCTGGCGTGTTTTCCTGTCTGAGATTTTCTGCAACTCTTTCTTCTACATTTTGCTGTCCTGACTGTAAAGCGCAACGCTGAGGAGCAACAAGATTTTGTTGTCCTTAATTGACAGATTTCGTCTGCTCTGTAATCCAAGCTATTTTTCCCCCCTCATTTTCGCTTATAGCACAGTGTAGGCTTTGCCGAATAATCTCCTCCAACCTGTCATTGGAGTATGACTAAAACAGACTAGAAACACTCATAGCCCGAAGAAGCTTTCAGCCTCCCTTGATAAAGCCTCCACATCTTCTGCAGGCACCAGCTAATGGAAGCCTTGTTCATTTGCCATGCCTATCAATCATAACCTCAGTGTCATCTTTTCATATCTTGCCGTTTCTTCTTGTCCTGGTTTTTCTTTACCGCTCTTACTGAGTTGTGCCGGATGTTGTTGTCGTGGTTACCATACTGTGACCCTGTCTGAATCACAGGGTGGAGGCATATAAGAAGGGATGAAATGGAAGGTGAACTAGAACAGAAGATATGGTGTCAATTTATTCTCATGAATATCGTTTTTCTCCAGGCTGGGAAACTCATGCATTCATCTTGCCGTTCAGTCAGCCCTCCTGATCCTATT